GTGTCTCTCAAAAATAAATAAACATTAACAAAATTTTTTTAAAAAACAGAGAGCTGACAGTACCTGATTTTTAATATATACATAAAAACAAGTCAGTAAAGAGAGTCTTTTCAGGGGGCGCCTGGGTGACTCAGTCGGTTGAGCGTCTGACTTTGGCTCAGGTCATGATCTCACAGCTCGTGAGTTCGAGCCCCACGTCGGGCTCTGTGCTGACAGCTCGGAGCCTGGAGCCTGCTTCGGATTCTGTGTCTCCCTCTCTCTCTGTCCCTAACCCACTTGCATTCTGTCTCTGTCTCTCTCAAAAATAAATAGACATTTAAAAAACTGTTTTTTTAAAAAAAGCCTTTTCATCAAATAATGCTCGAACAATTTGATAGCCATGTATAAAAAATTAGTCTGGAGCCATGACAGCACCATATAAACAAATTAACTCAATCTGGATCAGAGACCTACATATAAAACCAAAAAGGAGAAAACCTCTGGAAAAAAATACAGGAAACCTCTGTGACTTTGGGTCATGCAGTATTTCCTCAGACACGGTATTAAAAAGCATGGTCCACAAAATGACAAGTTAATAGATTGGACTTCATCAAAATTCCAAACGGTTGCTCTTTGAAAAACTCTATGAAAGCAAAAAGATAAGCCACAGACTGAATGAAAATGGTTGCAAAACAATATATCTGGTAAAGAACTTGGATTCACCATACATAAAGAACTTTTACAATTCAATAAGAAAAGAAACAATGCCCCCCCCCAAAAAAGAAACAACCCAACAAAAAAAATGGGCAAAAGATTCGAACAGACACTTCACCAAAGAGTTTGCATGCCAAAAAGCACATGAAAGGTATCCAATGTTGGTGCTCATTAGGGAATCATGAATTCACGCCACTACATCCTATTAGAAAGATTAAGGGTTTTTTTTTTTAATATTATTATTTTATTTTTATTTTTCAGAGAGGGTGTGACCAGTGGAGAGGGGCAGAGGGGCAGAGGGAGAGAAAGAAAATCTTAAGCAGGCTTCACAGTGCAGAGCCCAGTGTGGGGCTCAATCCCATGACCCCAAGATCATGACCCGAGCTGAAATCAAGAGTCGGACTGAGCCACCCAGGCACTCCAAGAAAGACTAAGGTTTTATTCGTAATAGTCAAAAGCTAGAAACATCTTAAATGTTCATCAATAGGTTAATGGTTTTCAAAATGTGGTTTATGCAGGAATAATACTCAGCAGTAAAAAAAAAAAAAAAAAA